CCTGGAGCTGCAGAGTTACATGAGCCTGGAGCTCCTCAAGACCTGCGTGGTGTGTGCCCCACAGAGTGAGGTAGAAAGCTACTGTGAGGAACTGGTGGAGCAGGAGGTTAGCCGCGTTCTGCACTCTGACATGGACAAGGACAACTTGGCCTACCTGAACTCCATCTTTGCCTCTTTCCCCAAGGCTGCCTGGAAGGCCACAAGGAGCTGCCTGCAGCTGCAGCAGAATGGGGATGGCCTCTTGGTAGCCAGGGCCACCCCAGAGGTGTGGAAGAAGGTCCTGGGAGGGCCGCAGCAGGAGGAGGTGGGTCAGAATGGGGTGGTCCCACTCTTTGAGCTCATCTGTGCCTCCTTCCTGAGGTTCAAACCCAAGTGGCTGCCCAGTTTTGTGGAACTGACTCAGCAGTACGTTAGCATCTCTTGGGCGTACAGCAGCAAGGAGGGCCCAGAGGGCCGGGTGCCGCTGTACAAGAGAGCGCTGGGAGTAGTGGCCAGGAAGAACAAGCGCAGCGAGGCCGATGATGAGATGGAGCTTGAACTGCTGCTCTGCAGCAAGAGGCCTAAGGCCGTGCTGCAAGCTCTGCACCTTCTCATCCGCCTGAAGCAGTGGCAGCGGGTGGTGGAGGTGGCAGAGAAGTTTTCCAAGCTCAGCCCCTTGCTTAACAAGGAAATATTCACCACGCTGCTGGCAGAGTTTGCCCAGCACCGGGAGCTGGACCCTTATCTGGACATGCTGTGGCCACTATGCCCTGCTGACCTCACCGCCTCAGACATCCTTGCCGTGGTCCTGCAGCACCTCCCTCACTCCCAGGAGGACCCGGTGCCCTTCTCCAGCAAGGGGAACCAGCTGACTGTAGGCTTGCTCAAGCCGCTGCTGCAAAGGGTTGTGCAGCGTCCCTGCGTGCAGGATGAGATGTACTCGGATGCCTTGCAGAGCCCCACCTTCCCCCCTCCCACCCCACCCCGAGAGCACAAGATCCCCTCAAAAGCAGCGGCTGATGATGCCCCTCAGCCACCCACGACAAGGACTTCCTCCCCCTCAGTGCTGGTACAGGGTGACACTGTGTGAAGGGGGGAAGCCTTGGAAATCCTGCCCTGTCTGGCAGTACAGAAGCCTGCTCCTTTCTGAAGCCTCCCTGCAGCAGCATCTCAAAGAGTCCGTTGGGTGGTTGGGGTTGGGGGATCTCACCTGAAGCCAGGGCAGGCTTTCTGGCTATTTCTATCAAGTGCAACTGCGTGTGCTCCAGTGGAGGAGCAAATGCCGGGTGTGTTTGCAGATGAAAGCGCTGGCTGCACTACAGGACTACAGAACTGCTCCCTGCCCAAAGCACTTTGTTTTCAGTTTGTGTGGCTCCTTTATAACTTCACTTTTACTTCCCTGATCCTTTAAGAGTGGTGGTGGAGCGGTGGGCAGGGACACGCACAGTCTTTCCCTCCCATTCTCTGCTCAGTGGGTTGGGTGGTTGCTCCACGCTCTGCCTGTGAGAAACTGGGCATGTTTCTTGCAGTGGGGTCTCTGAGTGCTGCAGCTTTGGGCTCAGTCAGATGCTAAATGCCAGCGTGGCACAGCTCTGTGGTACCAGGGGTCCCAGCACACACTGGCAGCAGCAGCACTCGGCGCACTGTCTCGCTGCAATTCCTCTGGGATCAGTCCTGTAGCTGTGACTGATTGCAGCTACTTAGCTGAAGAGAGCAGCCTAATTCCCTTATCTCTTTATCCCAGGCAGTACCCAAACTCTTTCTGAGCTGAGAAGCTGGCAGCAGCCTGTGCAAGCTTGGGGCTGGCCCTGCCTCTCTCTTTCCTTTGTGGAAGCTTAGATTATGCTGCAGGAGGCCCAGGCCCTCTGTTCCCATCTCCTCTACCTTTGCCCTTTGCACACAAAGGGGCTTTGTCAGGGTTGTCTGGCTCATATTGTGCCTCTGTTTGCAAAGTCAGTGTAACTTGAGAGCAGTCGTGCGGGAAGATCCAGGTTCCAGAGTCTCTCCAGTGCTCGCTGCCTGGCCCCCTCCTCTGGGAGAGAGACCCCGGCTGTGGCTTTGCCCCTGTACGCGGGGCTGTGGTGTGAAGGAGCTGTCTCTTGCCTTTGCTGGTCTGGCAGAGCCTTGCTGGGATGGGATGAAAGAGACTCACCTGCATTTGTCCTCCTGAGAGTGGGGTTAAATGTGGAAGACAGACTCCTTCTAAAAAATAAAGGTTCCTAAAGCAGTGCAGGGGTGGTGGATGTTGTGAGGATGCACACCCTCAGGAAGAGGGCAGTTTCATTTTGCTTCTGGTGAAAAGCAGCCAAGCTCAACTCACCGTGGTACTGCCCAGCGTGGCTCACCACTGGTACGTGCTGGGCTCAGAGATCTGGCTGTGCTGGGACAACCCCTTCCCTTTACTGCTAGGAAGCCATGGAGGCAGGACTCTGCCCTGGCAGGCAAGTGACCATCCCAGAAGGGCCATCCCAGGCAGTGTATGGTTTGGCAGAGGCAAGCCCCACATGTTGCTGGGAGCAAGGAGGCCTACCTGGGCTTTGCCGACCTCCCTGCAGCTGCTTGGTGCCACAGGCAACCCCCAAAGGCCATTGGGGCTTCTCACTGGCTGGACGTAAGATAGGGTTGAGGAAAGGAGCATTTTTTTCCTCGAGAGCTGTAACTCATCCCTTTGTTCCTGGCTGGAAAACCAGCAACAGGGAGCACCAGGCTGGCCCCAGCAGGAGCCTGCTGCCCTGGGCACACAGTGGCAGAGCTGTTGTTGGAGGGATCCTGGTTTGTGAAACCACTTTAAAGATGCGGCAAGGCCTCCCCCAGACAAGGGCTAGGCTGCAGAAAGTCCCTGTGGTGGAAGAAAGTATGGCAAAGGGGAAGAGGAACTGCTGCAACGGTTCTCTAGAGGCTGGCTGCTATTGATGAGACCTTCCTTATGGTGGGTCCTTGTGCTGCGGCCGTGGGGCACTGCGAGTTTCCCTCCCCCGCCAGGGAAGTGGATTCTGGCAGCTGCCCTTCATGTGAGAGGAGGCAGCCTGACACGAAGGAGAGCCGGCGGCAGCCGCTGTGGGCATTTTGCAATGAGCCGTCCTCACCTCTTCCCCGAGCAGCTGCTGGCCCTGTCTGACACCACTCTCGCCCACCTCCCAAAGCTGCTCAGGAGGAGGAGGATGGATCCCAGGGACGGGGATGCTGCCCTGGGGCAGCGCTGAATGGGGAGCTGCTGAGAGCAAGCCCCATGCCTTTGCAAGGCTGTGCAGTAATTGTGGGGGGGGGGAGATTTTCATTGCCAGGGTTGGGTTTGGATGCAGGTGGCCACAGCGATGCAGCAAACAAGGAGGGTCAAGCTCCCCGTCTTACAGCACTAGCTCTGCAGAGAAGAAAGGCCGCAGCTGGAGGCTGAGCAGTGAGGGAGCAGTGCCTGCAAAGCCAGCCAGCGGAAACTGAAGCCAGCAGCAGTCCCTGCGGCACAGCAAGGGAAGAGGAAGCGGGGAACGCTGTGCGGTGAGGACGGTCTGGGGCTCGGGGATGAAAACCTCCACGGGGCCCCTAGACAAGCACAAAACAGTCACAGCTCGGGAGGTTGAGGGTTTAGGGTGGTGGAGAGCAAAAGTGGAGCAAGCGGAGCCAAAACTGAGCTAAATGCTCTCCATTGGTGCTGGAAAGTCCTGCCCCGAGGACCAGAAAGGATGGGCATCCCAGGGGGGAGCAGGGGCTGAGCCACCACACAGGACAGATTCAGCAGGGTGATAGGCAAGCACGGGGCTCTCTCTGTGGTCAGGACGGGTGCTAGGGGGAGATAGCAGGAGGTAAGGCTGGTGCAGCTTCAGATAACGCCTGAAGGAAAAAATAGTGATTAGAAGATCTGAAGGCAAATGGAAAAAGTGATAAAGCAGATGCATGTAGCAGAGGGCGAGCTGGCCGGCTCGACCCTGCCGCTCGCTCCAGACAGACTTGGACTGTGCAACGAAGGAAATGAGTCAAGCTGCTCTCGTACGTCCCCCGTGCCTGACTCGGCTTTCGGGATGGTCCCTGTGCTTGCGCCAAGGAGCAGCACAAAGTAACGTCCACGCTCAGCCCACCACAGGTGCAGACCAAGTAGCCCTTGGCTTACCTGTGCACGCAGCTCTCGCTGTGCCCATCCATGCCACACAGCAGTGTGGGACATGCAGGGGTGGACACTGAACGTCCCCATGCCACCATACCCAGTGGAAGGAGGGAGGGAGGTGTGAGCTGCAGGCACCCCATAAACTAACTGGAAACCCACACATGGCAGGGTTGCCAGAGGGCACAGGGAAGTGCCCGTGCACTGGGAGGGGGAGGCATGGACAGGAGGCTTTTGCATGGCTTTTCCCAGGGGGGACCTGGCACCCACCCAGCCGCACGTGCAAAGGGCTGCCCGGTGAGGGGAACGTCACCCAGCCTTGGTGACACAGAGCAGTGGTCCTGCATCAACCCATGGGCTGGGTCAGGACTCCGAGAGCTGGCTGTGGGCAGAGCACGCTTGGGGATCCCGGCAAGAGGTCCCAGGCACAGCCCCAGCTTGTGCCAGCAGTGGGGAACCCTCCCTGCCCCTACCCTTGTGCCTTTCCATCACAGCCAGACGTGAAGAGCACAGCCGCATGCCTGCAGCACACACAAACATCCCATTTATTATTTGACACCAAGAAAATCACAGCCTTGGAAAAAGTCAGGCTCCCTGCAAAAATAAATTAGTCATATTTTTCAAGCAAGGGGCCTGGGTGAGCAGGTTCCCGTTGGCCAGCAGCACAGGCTGCAGTGGCATGGACAGTGCGAGCTGCCCCAAGCCCACAGGGTCTGGCGGGGTGGGGGTGAAGTCCCACCTGGGCCAGTGCAAGGGGCAGCTCCCCCTCCCACATCATCATTATTGGGCATCATCATCATTATTGGGAACGGGGAGGGGGTTTCAGCTGGGGATCCCAAGCTGCTCCCCAGCACCCAAGGAGAAGGTGCAGCAGACGGGACAGCCGTGTCCATCTGCTCCATGCCTGTGCCATGGGCAACAGGGGCTAATGTCTCGTGGATGGACGGGGGATTTTGTACAAGTTGAATGCGGGTGGCCTGCAAAAGCAAAAGTCACCTGTGTCACCCCCAGCCAGAAAGGGGAGCATGGGACAGCCCAGGATGCACAGGGATGGCCAAATGTCCCCCCCCCCCCATCGCCCAGCCCCACAGGAAAGAGGGTACAGAGACCCCTCACCCCACCCATTTGGGGGAGGCTGTGAGCAGCAGCACCTCCAGATTTAGGAGTGTGGGAAGATGATGGCAGGACCCCAGAACAGTCTATGCTGCAGAGGTCCCACCTCCCCCGTCCCCCTGGTACCAGCACAACTCCTTGGCCTGCACTTGCCCTGTTCCCCTCCTCGCCCCTCTCCCTCTGTGCCCTGTCCCCCCTCATGCCACACGAGTTGCCCCCCACCCCACACAGGGAGCTGGCACTGCTACTTACATCTCCAAGGCTTCATTCCTGGAAGGGAGAAAGAAGAGGGGTCAGTGTCAGTGGGGCAAAAAGATGCCTCCTGGGACAGCCCAGCACCTCCCTGTGGGACAAGGTCTCCCCCAGGGCACACAAGGAGGACATGGTGGGCTGTGTGGTGCTGTGGTCCCCTCCATCCCAGCTGCCCCACCTGGACACAGAGCATGGGCTCCTGCAGCCCCCCTGAACTTTCCTGCCCCCAGAGCATCACTGCTGCTTCCCCGGGCAGGCAGAGCGGGGCCCCACACTCGCCAGCTCAGTGGGACACAGCTCCCCCCGCCACGATTTCAGTTCCCCCAAGATTCCTTGGCAGCTGAGCCCGTGTCTCCAGCCAGCTCAGCAGCAGGGGGAAGCGAAAGGCACCGGGGCCACCAGTGGGAGCCCTGGGCATGCTGCAGGCAAGGCACAGCCTGGCTCAGCACCACATCCTGCACACACCACGTACAACCTCAGCACGGGTCCTGGGAGAGCCAGTGCGCGGAGCGAGGAGGCGGTGGACAGGCAGGGAGGAAGGCTGGTTAGGGCCACACTGGGCATGGGAGTGCTGCAAACCCTGGCTCCCCAGGTTGCTGCGGAGGGGTGGCAGGTGGGGGGCCAGGTCTGGGGAACCCCCAGAAACCGGCTGCACTGCAGGGCCAAGCTGGAGCCCTCAGCAGTTGGAAATCCAAGTGGAAACTGCTCACTGTCCTCAGGGGTCGGCAGCTGTGCTGGCGGTGGGGCTGCAGGTCAGAGGGCCCAGGAGGGATGGGGAAAGGGCCCCAGAGGGCTGGGGGGCAGCCCCAGGGTGCCAGCAGCCGTGGGCGTGTGAGCCAGCACTGCACCCTCGTGGCAACGGTGCCGACCATGCAGCACGGGTGCAATCTGCATGGCATCCAGCTGTGCTCCTATTTTGGGGCCCCAGCACAAAAAATGGTGCAAAGCCAGAGCAAGTCCAGTGGTGGACCCCCAAGCCGTGCTACGGGTGCAGCCCATGCTGTGCAAGCCGGGCTCCTTCCTCCAAGGTGGTCGCATGCACCTTCAACTGCCCAAAGCAGGGTTGCAGAGCAGACAGAGCCAGGCTCTTCTCCAAAGCATATCCATTCTGGGAGGGTGAAGGTCCCAAGCCACCACCCTGCCTCCGCCAGCCCACATTACTTTAGGATCAGCCCCATGCGCTGCCAAGGGACACGTGAAGGGACAGTTTGCAGTGTGCGGGTGGGACCCCAGACTCAGCATGGATGCAGGGGGTGGGCAGCTCCTCACCTGTAGACATCAGCAATGTTCATGCGCCGGTAAAACTTGGCGAGTCTGACTGCCAGGATGATGCTGGGCAGCAGGAAGATGGTACACCAGCCCAGGCTGAACCAGAAGGTGTTCTGGGTGCAGGGGGAGAGCCATCAGGCCTCGGACAGCAACTGGGAGGGCCTCTTCCACTC